AAAGTTTGCAAGCGTGACTGTCTAGGGTGTTCTGGGGGGAACAACTGGTGAAATTATGAATTATTCACCTCCCCACCCATTAACAAGAATGGACCTAAGCTGACTCAGACTTAAGAAGCCGAATCACTTTGAAGCCCTCATTCTTCCCATTTTAGTGACCAGAAACTTTTTTTTTTTTTTTTTTTTTTTTGTATGGGAGATCAAACTCAGAACCATGCACTTGCCAGGCAGGTGCTTGTGCCAGTGAGCTAAATCCTTGGCCCACGACCAGAAACTTTGGAGCTTCCTGGTGATGAAAAGATTATGCTTGGCCACTCCCCATACAATTGTCCTTGGGGGTCCCCTCAATTAATTTAAACACACACATATGTATAGAGTACTGTCAACCATTAGATATGGCCAGGTATATGCCCATTTGCACTTGGGAAATATGAAAATCTTGTAACAGTCTGCTTCCAAGGGGAATTTATTAGATCTAAGATATACGCAAGGCCACGTATCTTAAGAACCATGTGAAACTGAGTCATCATGAGCATGGGTATTGTGATGGAGAGGACCTTTGACTGGGCATTAAAATATGACCGCTATTACTATTAAACAGTTTTTGGACATTTAACCAATTCTTACTGCAGTCTTAAGCCACTTTATATGCTCTTCTAGATGCTTGCTATATATGTTTACCCATCTCAGCAGTGGTGTAAGGAAGACAGCAGATTGCTGAGGTGAGGTCACATAGCTAGTGTCTGGTCAAGCTGTATTTAAATCTCAAGGAGTTATGTTGCAAAGCCCTGCTCCTCTTCACCAATATGCTGCGTTGCATTGAGGATTTGTGTGAAGTCCTCCCTGACAAGAGAGCCTGGTCTCTAAGGTATCATAAAAGCAATGTTTAAATGGAGGAGATCTAGCAGTAGATGTTGAGAGTAAAGATTGGCACAATGCCTGGAATAGAGTGAGGACCTGTTTGTTGCATATTTGAATTTGAATATTGACTGAATGGTTACAGAAAGATAATGCTGGAAAAGAAAGCTGTTACCAGATGAGACATGGTTTTGAATTACAGCTTAAGAGGTTTAAACTTGGTACTGTAAATAATATCTTTTCTATAATGGTTGAATTTCTGCAGAGGCAAATATATGAGTCCATAGTGTGCTATTCTAAACAGTCTATCCTACATTATTTCTGTTTAGTACTTTCTATAGGATTTCTAGGACAAAATACTGATGCCATGTTAATCAAGTGTGTTATAAGACTCTCACCAAATTTTCCTGAAAGTATTTGACTATAGAAGTTAGGGACCAATTATTTTTTAACTGTTAGTCTTGTCACACATGCAGTTTCCTATAAATACATGGCATGGGCAAGACTCTACGCAGCCAAATGGTAATAATGGAAAATGGTGTAACCCCATTTTCCTGGATTGTAGATGACTGAATTTGTGGTGGACACTGGGACACAACATGGTCCTCTTTTGGGAACAATGAGAGTACAGAATTTGCTTTATATTTCCTATTTTTCTAGGTGCAGAAACTTTTGGCTTCTTTTAATTTGAAGAGAAGACTCAAAAATACCAAACAAACTGCCTTTTAGATTGAAAGTATGAAGGAGCCGGAAAACTTTAAAGGCAGAAGCTTATCTGTCTATCTATCTATCTATCTATCTATCTATCTATCTATCTATCTATCTGATACTTGTGTGTCTTCAACATAAACCTTTGGATTTTGAATTTCCTTCTGGAATTTGAAGTTTTCTCCAAAATTACAAATATTCTAGGCATTGTGCCAATTAAAAATTGCACTTTTCAGTATTCATTCTTCTTAGATTTTTAGGTGTATTTTACATGGCAGCTCAATCATTTATTTTGAAAACTGTACTGGAATGTGGTATCCTCAGTTTCCTCCTTTTCTCCTACTACTCTTATTCTCAAACTTCTTTTCCTCTATGCTTGAGGCATTGCTGAAACATTTTTTCTATATACCTAATTTTAACTACATTTAGGCTACCAAGTTTTATCACTTTGCAGATGGTGCCACCAGAGTATGCATGATCACAGCACTTTCTGAGCTCCCAGAGGACTCACACACTTCTAGTTCAGTTGACAAGAACCTCAAGACATCTGACCATTTAAAGAAGCCCCACGGTCTCGTGATCACCCTCTTGGTTCAAGACTTTATCCTTCACCTGAGTTCTCCATTTGCCATGGATTTTACATAGGGTTGTTACACTAATCCTTAAAGTGAAATTCTGATTTTTTGCTACTTCCTTGCTCCCAAATCTTTAGTGACACTCATCTTTCAGGGGAAAAAAATCTCCGTTATGGTTTCAACAGTTGATTACAGAGTATTTATACATCTTTTAGGAGTTTTCAAGTAGACTCCTTTTTATACCTCTGTAGCTTTCAAAGTTCTGTTCCTTCCCCTCACATTTTCAGAGTGCTGCCTTTTAAAAAATAATATATCAGTGATTCTAAATGAAATTAGTATCTCTTTAAGTTTTCAAATTTTGACTGTAATTCTGTTAAGACAATTATTGTAATGTTTTATTGAGCATTTGTCTGACTATAATTCAAATCTCAAAGCAGCAGTCTGCCTACTTGGAGCCATGCTTTTCCATGTTCTCTGTGTCACAAGTGCTGGCCTGTGGTGGTGTTGCCCACACCTTTGTGTCAGCTGTGCTGATGGGTGGTGACATCAATGTGAAACACTGATATGAAGACTTGGGGTCCTTTTCCCATGCCCTCTGCCTCAGGAGGTGTCTCTAGGAAAGTTACAACCTCTAGGGTTCTAACTCCCAACCCGTTATGGTCTCTGCAGGTGGCCCCAACCCTTGGGTTCTTGGAACGCAATCTTGTTTTTCTTGCCTGTGGATGAGAATGGTATCTACCATTACTTAGTCTGAATCATGTCACTGTTCCCTTATGGGCTTTCTATTCTTTCCTCCCCCACATACTGTATTAAATTCCCCTTGAAAGGCAGATGGATTCTGCTTTTCCAGGATGGTTGGTGATTGGTATATTTCTCTTCTAATATTAACGGAGACCATATCCTTCGCTCACATACTTCATGGTTTCTCATTCAGTGACTTGGGTACTGCAAATACGGAATGAATATTTATTGAATAAGTACATAAATGTGGAATGATCTTGTACGTTTAAAGATAACTCAGTTAAGTTTTACAGAAATTGCTCAGAAAAATTTAGGAGGCACTAACTATATTAGTGGCTATGCAGAAATACCAAAAACTCAAAAACAAAAACAGAAATTGAGGACAACATTCCTGTCATCAAAAATTTTAAAAGGCTATTTGGATAGTTACAAGTGGAAACAAACTTTATAGCAAAAAACTTAGAGGACTGAAAAACATCTACTTAACATATTTCTTTTGCATGTTTTTCTTTTTCTTAATCGTTAAGGAATGCTTGTAAATTTATGGTGCTTAGATTCTTCCTAAAATTAGCTGATGGATTTCTTTTTCCAATCCATGCATCAATATTCTCCAGCTTGGCTCTAAGAGGTATTCAGTAGAAGATATCCATATGGTTAGTGTGCTAAATGTTCCATTGATTTTAAATATTTTCTTTCTTGAGGTTCTTGGACATTTAAGAATTTATATATCCTCTGATTCATTTGTCACTGTTCCTGTTCACTCAGATTTCCATTCTTGAGAACGTGGGATCTTGAGATAGTGTGGGTAATATGCAGGACTGTGTGGGATGTGACTGAAGTCACCACCCAGCCCTTTCAGAACCATTGTTGTGGCAGAGGAACGTGGATTTGTGGCTGAGATTCTTACTGAAATTTCCTCCTCTACCTTTGGATTGAGCCATGGCCTTGAATTTTCTCTCCCAATCTTCTTTTTCTCAATTATAAGAAAATAGCACAAGTTATCAAAAGGGTTCTGTGTGGGAAATAATTGGATAAAATATAGGACAAAGTGGAAAGGGAGAGAATTTAACCAATGACAGTGATGGAAGCTGCCCAATCAAATCCTCAGGGTTTGGAGGAGGATGTCCATTTGTTTAAACAACAAGTATTTACTATGTTACCTTTGAGCGAAGATCCTCTTTCAGCAAAACCTTGGTCAGACTCTGGTGAGTCCTCTGCTTGACTATACCTGACCTTGGTTTTCTTCCTTTGTTTTTGTAGAATCTTCTACCAGCAACAATCCTGTTAAGTTTAGAGAAAATCCTCCATCCTTTGTGTCTGACTACCTCTATAATATTTTATAACCCTGAGCAACCTGCTGTGATAATCCTATCAAATTGATTTATCCAGAAACCTCATTATTTTTCTTGTTTCCTCTTAGGAATTTTGCTTTCATAGTCCCATTTTCTGCTCTTCAGATATAAATCCCTATTTATCTTTGTTTGAATTGGAGTCTATTCTAATCTATTTTCCCCACTATATGAATGCATTTTAGTATCTATATCTACCACCATGGGTCCAATGGATCAAGGCCTTCATTACCATCTTTTGTTGTTGTTTGAGATAGAGCCTCAGATGGTCCTCAAACTCATGATCCTCCTGCCTCAGTCTCCCAAGGGGTATGATGATAGGCTGCCCTTCCGTGCCAGGCCACTCACCATCTTTAATAAGTATCATGGATAGTTATTTTCTTTAACGTTGGCACTGTAGCCCTTGGTTTCCTGTGGTTAATCTTTGCAGGCCAAAATTTTGGATCATCATCTTATCTTTTGAGATTCTTCACGTATGCAGAAAACAGTATACTTTTTGCCTACTGAAACTAGTATTTTCTATTGCTTTGCATGCAAGTATAAATGTAAAACATCTGTAAAAATGCATGGTGTTTAAAGTTTCTTTAAAATATTGGCATTACTTATTGTTGAATAAGTTTTCTTTGGCTTGAGAAAAAGGTACTGATGGGGTAAAGTTAAGAGTTTTGGCCTGGGGGGCTGGCTGATGAGAGAATTGTAATTGTGGATTGCATCTGGAAATGGGATAGGGTTGAAGTTCTAATAAGACTTTCTTCTTTTTTTCTTCCAGAGAAGACTGTTTCTGATCATGAAGGGCACATGGCTTTGATGGTAGGTGTTACTCAATAGTCCCCACAGCTCACAAACTGTGGCTGCTGTTACTATCAGGAGAAAATAGTAGGTTTCATTCCTGCAGCCTGGGGTCTCACAGTTTGTCTGAAGTCTGCTTTCTCTCTTACAGCTTGGGGAGAGGTGTGATTTCCTTTCTAAAACAGGATACATCTTGCATTTGCTCATGCAGAGTTGTTTAGAAGTGAGCGGGTCTTCATTTTATCCCTCATTCACCAAAGAGCCTGAGTGTCCTCAAAACATGTAGGCATGGCTTAGGTTTTGCCCTTTCAGATTATTTGTTGATTTAAGGAACATCTCTTCAATACCAGGCTAGGGTCTTATTAAAAAAAAAATAAGTCACAAGTATTGGACTGAACTTATTGTGAATGCAATTTGTACTCCTAAAATTCTGACCAGGTTAACATTTTTCTTGAGACAGGGTCTTGCTACATAGTTCAGACTGGTCCTTGAAGTCACTAGGTATCTCAGATCGCTCTTGAATTTTTGGCTATTCTCCTGACTCAGCTTCTGAAGTGCTGGAGTTACAGGTGTATACCACTGTACCAAGCTAACATATTTTTAAGTTTTAGTATGAGTTCAAAAATCTACCCTATTAATACTCTTCACATGGTAAGGTCTTTATGGAGAGGTAAAACAGGTAACTTCTATGACGGAGGAAGGATACAGGCTGCTGATAGAGACCTTTTTTCCAAAAACATCTACCCTATGTTCCTCAAGCTCCTCCAGTGTTTTTCAGTTTTTGTTTCAAACAATAAAAATATTAACTTTGTAACATTTTTTTGAGTGGCAATTCATTAAGCTTGTTAAAAGCATTCTTAAACCACTTTGCCAGTTTGATTTCATCCTAAATCATTACAAGTTTCCCTTATGAGCTTTTTTTCTTTCCCCCTTCCTCCATCCTGTGGTTCCCTATTCCTTGCTTTCTGCTCAGAAAGAAAACAATAATCTGGAGGTAAGAAGGGGAGCATTCTGAGTTCAAAGAGGAAGGGGAGAGAAGTGAGATGGAACATGCTGTGGATTTAGGTGCAGATTTAGGCACAGCAAACTAAGAATTTTGCTGGTCCCCCGCTAATGAAGCAGTTTCTAAGATTCTTAGAACAAGTTAAAAATAAACGTTAGCAATGTCATCAAGGGCCACCAATGATCAGAGAAAATAGATTTTCAGGTTTAATCAGTACAATTTTGTCATTTTTGCTACAAATCTATTGCTGGCAAATGGGTGAGAGAGAGAGAGAGAGAGAGAGAGAGAGAGAGAGAGAAACAGAGAGAGAGAGAGAGAGACAGAGACAGAGACAGAGAGACAGAGAGACAGAGAGACAGAGAGAGACAGAGACACAGAGAATATTTGGTCCTCACTCAGACATCTGTATTAGTTCTAAAGAATGACTCTAATAATGGAAATTTCAAACTAGGTAAGCTATTCCCTGAGGCCCTCTGAGGGCTGATCTGAGCCTTTGCTGGACTGAACGTGATGCAGATCATGCTGGACTGTATCAAACCTCTTGTGTCTGGTCTATGATAGACCTCTAAGTGATGTTTGACTTCTAAAAAGGATACAGGTTAGAGGAGGAAAGAAAGTAGAAGGCAAAATGGATCTGACCAAAGCATGATGTATGCAAGCATGTAAAGTTATATCAAAACACATTAATGTGTACAATTAATATATAATAATAATAATAATAATAATAATAATATAGTAAAAAATTGCCTAATTCTAGTACATGGGGTGATACAAACAAAACTGAGGCCGACTTCATGGAATACTCAGACTGAATCTTTTATCTACATGATTTTTTAATTCTCTTGGTGAGCTTGTGAAGTAAGTACCAATACTTTTAGTTTCAGGGTAATTAAAATATAAAATCAGGGGATTTTGATATAATGTTCCTACAAAACAGTGTCTTAATTCCTTCTTGACCTATGATTTTACTTGAGTGAATACTCAAGTGGGTGTACTTGAGATTAATAAGATTCTGTCTTCTGTCTTAGTGAGAAAATGTCAAGAGGTCCTAGATTGGACATGCAGAGCAGGGACTGGACTTCCACACTGCTGAGCTGCCCTTGCATGCCAGTCTGCTAGAGCCAAATCTGCAAAGCGATGTCCATTTTCCTGCTCTGCTCAGGACTTGGGTGACGTAAGTGGCAGAGTGGAGTCCTTTGCAGATCACACAGGAAGCTATTGCCTACTCTGTGATTGTGTAAGTGGGGGTGCTCCCCAAGCCCATAGAATCATGACGTTAAATATCAGAGGGGGTTAGGAAGGAATATCATCAATTTTGGTGTAGAGATTGTTGTTTCTGTTCATCTTTGTTTTTCAGCTAACTTTCTCTGTCTCTCTGTCTCTGTCTCTCTCTCTGTCTCTGTGTCTCTGTCTCTGTCTCTGTCTCTGTCTCTGTCTCTCTCTCTCTCTTAAGACAGAGTCTTGCTTTGTAGTTCAGGCTGGCCTTGGACTCATTATATAGTCCAGGCTGGCCCCTAATTTTCTGCAATCCCTGCCTCAGCCTCCTAAGTGCTAGGGTTACAGGTGTGTGCCACCACACCCAGTTCAGCTCTTTTTCAGACAAGGAGCTTGTCTTTTTGTACAGAGCTTTCATGTATTTTAAATTTGTGAATTTGCATACCTGGTTCATAATATTGAAAATGATCAACCTACAACAAACAGCAAAAACCAGCCCATTTTAGCTTGGAAGATTATACTTCTTTTTGGGCTATAAATCTGGAAAACTTTCATCATATAGCAATAATAACTACTTAGTAACAATGACAGTACACTCTCTGGTCCATTTATTATCTCTGTGTTCAGCACTGCTCCTGCATTTCAATCCTGGGTTTTCTGCACAAACACTTACCCTGAGTATCTTTTCTTCAGTCTTTCAATATTGCTTCCTAATTGCTTTTCCCTCTGTGGTATTTTATATTGCGATGCATGACCACTGATAATTCTCTCTCCCTAGTCGCTCTCTATTCTTTGTAAGAATTAGGAGCCTGACACAATAGAATTCCACTCACATGGTTTATCTGAGGACATTTTAATAAAGAGATTATGGACAGTGATTGAGGGAAGGTTTAGAGGAAGTTGAAATACCATGACACTAGCAAAAGTGAGAAGGCACTAACATATCTGGACCTGGAGGGGTAAGGGTGGGAATAGTTGTGCGGAACCCGATAGCAGGCCAGAGTCATGAACGATGGGCTGCTAGGCAAGGGGTGTCTCCATGGAGAGAAGCTCCCTGCCTTCAGAGAAGAGGCAAGGAGGAGATGGGAGGAGACCCCTCAACCTCTCTCTCCACCCTTCCCAGCTCCTCCAGATTTCTCCCACTGTATGGAAGTAGCACAGATCACTGTAAGGCAAGGAAAGGATAGGATGCAGTAGGGACATGTGCCCACAGAGGAGAGCAGAACAGGGGTCAAAGTGGACCTGACCACGTGGGAGCAGCAAACAGAGCATAACCAGCGTCTCTCATTCATCTCCAGGTCCTGAGTAGCTAAACATTGTACCAGCACTGAGTGGGAAACTCATATTTGTTTTTTAAAATTGAACAAGACTGGAAGTAGTCTCAGAGATTAACAGATATAATTGCCAGGTTTCAGAGCTGAGGAAGCTGGAATTGAGAGGTATCAAGGGACATTACTGTGGCTGTGCCAGCAGCTACGGGCTATAGGGCTTGCAAGAGTTGCTGGGTTCCATGTCCAGGGCTTCATTCATATCACCTGCCACCCACCAGTGAGTGCTGGCATCTCTTTAGTTCCGCCCATGTAATGCTTCTGAACCTCATCATATTCATCTCATGGTTATTAATTTTCTAATCTGTCCATTGTGAGACCTTAAGACTTGGGTTATCTCTCTTTCCTCTCTCTCCTCCAGCATACACAGTGCTGAGCTTCTGTCACATACCAGGTGATAAACTCAGTCTAAACTTGCACAAGACCCTGCCACTTTTAACACTTTCCCCACATTCTTTGTGCTGGCCATTCCCTATGACTGGAATGTGTCTTATCTCTGTGAACCTTTGGCCATCTCCTGTCTACCACGCCAAAGCTCAGCTTTTGGGCCCCTCTTTTGAGAAGTGGCTCTGATTCTCTTTCTCAGCATTGGTATCACTGCACTGTCATGATCTGCGTGCTTATCTGTCTCCCTTTCTTAGTCATCAACACTCAGGCTCTAGCGTGGTTCTTACTATCAAGCAGCCTTAAATTATTGGTGAGTGACTGAAATGGCTGAATTGGAGGAGGAAAGACTGGTTCCATAGCGGAGCTGCTTTTGAGGCCTTAGTCTCCTACTGTGCTTACACCCTACACTTTCTCAGGGATCAATGCATTCCATTCTGATGGGTGTTCCCACTGCTCATGGAGCCTGCTGGTGTACCCAAAGCTGATTTATTCCTTATGTGACAGAAGAAACTGAGCTCAGAGTAAACTGCTCAAGATCCCACAACCAGTGATTTATGCTGAAACTTGGTCCCTAAACTGCCTGATTCCATGTGTGTTTACCACGCTGCACTTCTCAGATGTCTTATAAACATATATTCATTTATTACTTGCAAAGTTGAACTATTGAATTAAAATGCTATGTGAAGCATAGTTTATTCCTTAACTTATATTCACATCTTCTGTTGTAAATATAATCAGCTGCTTTTTGTTATGTTTTTACGGCTCCTAAATGGTCATTGAGTTCCTTCAGTTATGACTTTCACAGGTTAAATTAAATATCAGGTCTTATAATTTTTAAAATTACATCCTGTATATGCTACAGAAGTCAGATTTTATGAATGTGTGTTACTGGAAAAAATTGGAATCTCTGCTTTTGAAAGACAGTGAGGTTGAGCTTGGGACAATTAAGCAATCCCTCTAAGGTCTCACAAAGGACTGTGTCACAATTTTTACCACAACTTGGAAAAAATGAGAAGCACAACTTGTTTCTTATCTTCCTTATCTTGTGTTCAACGCTTTTGGGTCTCAATGAAACCTTAATTAATTTAATGAACCTGTAAGTCGTGGTATCTTTGTGACAAACTTGAAGATTAAAAACATGCACATTTTTATGGGCATCTCTAATATTAAAAGATTAGGACTGGAGATTTAGTTCAGTGGTGTAAGTGCCTACCTGGCAAATGCAAGGTCATGAGTTCCATCCCTGGTACCACAAAAAAAAAAAAAAAAAGAAAGAAAGAAAAAAAAATATCAAGAACTCAGAAGTATTAAACCTCAATGATGACAATAGATGACAAATAGCCCCATCAACATTTGGGCAGCAAACAACTGCTTATATATTGCAGAGATAACAGAGCTTCACCTGGGAACAGAAACTAAATCTTGCCTATTATCTGATTTGAGGGTAATATCCAAAGGGATGCGGATTGCAGCTTCCAAACCTGATTCCATCCCCCTCTTTAATTATGCATTCAAGTACTATTGAGTGATCTCTAAAGTGAAGCCTAGACTGTCCAAGACCTGGAAAAGAGACCTAGGATGGCTCAAACCTGGAGGAGATATAAAGCATGGTCTTCTAGGAGGAAACTGTAGTGTATACAAAGAGTAATTTAAATTATTTGACTCTGAGCATGACTCACACTTTATATGGAAGACAACCCTAGAGACAGAGTATTTGATTGGAACTCGGTTTAGCATACTCCAAAACTGTAGCTGGTTGAATACTTCCAGGGAAAGAAAAGGAACTTTTCAAGTCTTCGGATGTGTGGATGTGAGAGAGAGAAGAGAAGAGAAGAAAAGAGAGGGGAAGGGAAGGGAAGGGGGAGGGAGAGGAGAGCAGAGGAGAGGAGAGGAGAGAAGAGAGAGAAGAGGAGAGAGAGGAGAGAAGAAGAGAGAAGAGAAAAGGAGGAGAAGGAGGAGAGAGAGAGAGAGAGAGAGAGAGAGACAGAGAGACAGAGAGACAGAGAGAGAGACAGAGAGACAGAGAGACAGAGAGTCAGAGAGAGAGACAGAGAGGAATGTGTTAGTCTGCACCCTTCTGGTTCTGTCACTGAGGTACTGTGTACTGTTCTGTCACTTTGGTAGGTCTGGTAGCTGACTCCAGATTCCAGTTTGACAGTGCTGCACGAAGCTGACATGTGGGAACTGAGATGGGAGTTCCTAGCCCTGCTCTTGGAGTTCTCAACACTTGGAATGACTGTTGTGTTGGGGAGAGACAGGAGTTTGAGTTCCATGATGGTGAGGGTTTAGAGGAGGGAAACTTTAGCTTGCAGGTGCTGGGCATCTCTCACTTGCTGTTTATTGTTCGTATGCGGTGGGCAGGAGAACATGGACACATGTGAGTTTTGTCTTTCTTCCCTTTAATATTGTTTTTTTTTTTTTTTTTTTTTTTTTTTTTTTTTTTTTTTTTGTCTTTTTCCTTTTTATTGGTACTGGGGATCGAACTCACGACTGCCTGCTTGCAAGGCAGGTGCTTATGCCGCTGAGCTAAATCCCCAGCCCCATCTTTCTCCCCTTTAATATTTTAACAGATCTCCCACATGGATTTTGTCTCTGGAACTATGACAACAGATAAGCTTATTTTTTTTAACCCTACCTCCTCTTCAAATCAGTATTTGGGCACAGTAAAGATACAGGTATCAGTATTTCTTGTCCACTCAGCTTAGTTACAGCCTTACTTCTTATGTGGCTTGTGCCTCATTTATTTACGTTTTCCTCTGTCATTTTATATTACTTATCTCAGTGCAGGATGGGGATGCACCTTCAGTATACTCAGAAGGAAGCAGTTAATTGCAGTGCATGAGGATACCCTGTGGGGGCGAGGCCTATTGGCCACTCTGCACATTCCTCGTGTCCTTCTCTGGCTCTTCAGATTTTTGGTACAGAAACTTTTGCATCATGAAATTGAAAAGCATCTTAGAATTCTATTTGTTTTGGGTCTGGTTTTGGGTTGCAAAGTTAGAGGTGGATTCATATTTTCTTTGCTAAGAAACAAAGTACACTTTAGATAAGATATGTACTCCTATGTGAATAATAGGTTTCAGTATTTGAAATCACATGTAACGTTTAGACAAAAATAAAAGGCTTTTATAAACAACATTTCTACTCTTAAATGCCGATATGTCATTTCCTGAATAGGTCATTTTGTGCAAGACAAGCCATTGACCTGTCTTGGATTCTTCCTTGATTCTGAGAATTGTAGAAAGCAAAGTCTTTCAGGAAAAAGGTAATCATGTTCATTCATTTATTCACTCAATAAATATTTGATGATCAACTTAATGTGCAGCCCATTTAGGAACACAACATTGTCTAGCCATTTCTCCTGCATGCATGGAATACACATTCTACTAGGAAAACCAAGAATTGACAAAGACTGAAATGTTTAATTATTATATCTTGATTGCAATTGTCTTAAGTTGGAAAATAGGTCCTGTGAGGAATGATATAAGGGACATTTAATGTGGAGAGTCTGAAAAGGTGACATTTAGGGAGGAATAAAAGGAGTGAAAAGAAATTAGTTGAGGTAACGGGCTAGAGTTAGGGAAGAGGACCAGCCCAGGCAAAGATGTGATGGATGAGAAGGGCCTGAGTAGGCAGGTGTGCTTGGAGAACTAACAGAGGATAAAAGAGAGCTTAGTGAACATGAAGGAGAGAGGGGTGAGGTGAGGCCAAGGAGGGTGGCACCTGCCACTGCCATGAATTTTCACTATTCTAAGTACATTGGGAGATCATGGAATGTTTTGAATGGGTCGTGATATAATCACATTTGTGGTACAAGGTGATGGTTTGGCTTCTGGGGTGGAGTGGCCTGAAAAGTGGTGAGAGAGCCTGCAGAGAGCAACAACTAAGCTGGATACGAAGCACTGGTTTCAGATTTCTTGTCTACTGTATTTGTGGCTGATTGATGTTGGCCATTCAGCATGCTTTGCTGTTGGAAATTCCAGTATGCGATATCAGAGTGACAAACTGACAGGATTTCCCATGCTTGGGCTGACACTGTCACACCTTGCCAGGAATGTGTTAGAATAAAGATGCATCACATGTCAGGTGCCATGTCCTCTTGCCCGTGTGCCAAGAGCAGCTGCATGGCCATGTTCCCATACACTGCCACTGTCACCACAGAGGTGCAGCTCCAAGAACAGAGGTGTCTCAACAGGGCAAGTCTTCTGACTGACTTGTTTATTGCAATGGATCAGGCTTTGTTACCTTCTGCTAGCTAGGCCATAAGAAACTCTAAAGAGTAGAAAGACCACAGACTTTGCAGATAGACATATCTCAGTTATGCTTGGGTACCTTTGCCACCTTGGGTGTGTTCTTCCACATTTGTGAGCCTGGCTTACCTTACACTTGAGAAGGAACTAATCACCACGCTGTTCTTTCATGACTATCGTGGGGCCTAACTATGAGAATGCAAGTTGAGCCTGTCACACTGCAGCCATCTGATAACTGTTAGTTTCCTTTTCCATTTTAACCATGTAGTAACTCTCTTGTCTGATGTCATCCAGGGGCCCCAAAGTTCTTCTGTGGTAATGAAATCATCCTCACATCCTCATAGCTTATAGCTTGTTTAGGGTAATGTTGGAATTTCCTTTTTCTTTTTCATTCCTTCCTATTCAAGGCATGCATAACTGAATTTTAGCATAAGGATAATGAAGATGGGCATATACAGTAAGCCCTGAGACTGTGATGCACAGACTGTCAGCAACCTCATATTCCCAGGTGATCTTTGTCTCTGGTGGAAGCACTCACGGAGCTGCTGAGCCACGAATCTTTCATGTGTGGGTTGTTTGCAACATCCTTTGAATATTTGATCATCAACTGCTGTTTCCTTGGATTAATAGGTCCATAAATGTGTTAAGTGCTTTTTCATTACACTGAAACGTACTATTTTGCTATCACTGCCTCTAACTACTGTTATTTATTTTCTGTGATCTTCCTTCCTCCTTCGTGTTCTTTCTCTGTCTTTCCTTCTTTCTATCTTTCTTTCTCTTTTCTTTCTTTCTTTCTTTCTTTCTTTCTTTCTTTCTTTCTTTCTTTCTTTCTTTCTTTCCTTCTTTCCTTGTTTCTCTTTTCTGTCTTGCAATACTGGGATGAAATCCAGGACCTTCTACAGGAGTGTGTGCGTCTTCACCTGCAGCTCTTGGCCCCTTGCACATCAGGGTGGTGTCCAGGCCCTCCACTCTCCCTCTGCAGGCTTTCCCTATCCAGTCTTCCAGTCATGTTGGACTGCTTTCCATTCACTGAAAGTCCCCCTTATGTTCTTGTCTTCGTGGTTCTGCTCAGTGATTCCTTGAAGAATGTTTTGGCTGTTCTGGAGGAACCTGTTCTTGTAGCACTAATAGAAATATGGACTAAGAAGGTAGGATGAGGTCACACGGCTGATCCACTTATTGATAGAAGAAAATTTGGGCATCTAAAGAAACTTCAATTTGTCCAAGGCTACCAGCTAGTTAATGATAAAATCCAGGCCTCCTGTCTCCTAACCAATGCTTTTTACAGCACATATCCTTCTGAAAATATTAAGCATCTACCATGTACCACACACTGGAATGTAATGGTCCTGTAAATATGAAAGAAAAAAAGTTAGTATACTTACTAAGTCAAATACACAGCACTTGTGTATAGCACTTACAATTTTAAAAGTTGTCCAGTTTAGTAAATTTAAATATATCCTCATTTAAAGAATCTTTCCAGGATTTGTACTTTTTCCTTTTGCATACTCTCTAGTATGCACAGTCTTGTGTCACACATCTGACTGAGTTATAGGAGGGCAACACTTTCCTCCAGGGGATTTTAGTCCTGTCTTCTCTCAGGCTTAGACCATTAGCAGTGGTTGGTTTGTATCTTGATTTAAGTGATGACATTCAATAGTCTCACTTACTTTTTACTTTTTCAGGTTGCCAGGAAGTGTCTTTATGGATAGATTTCTGTGTGTGTGTGTGTGTGTGTGTGTGTGTGTGCGCGTGTGCATATGTGTGGTGCTGAAAGTGGAACCCAGGACTCGGATCATGCTAGACAAGTGCTCTATCACTGGGGTACATTCCCAGCCCTTGAGGAATCCTTTAATTCAACTATGGTGCTCTGGCATCAGCTCTGCAGGACTGTCATTTACCTGAAGTTTGTACTCAGCATTTACTTTGGGAAAGATTTGTAATTTGTAATCTGATTCAAGTTTCTTTTGTTTTTTGTGATACTGTTGAATACTGGGGATTGAAACAGGACTTTTGTAGTGAACTACATCTCCAGCACTTACTGAATTTGAGACAGGGTATTGCAAAATCATAAAATTGTCCAAGTTTGACTCAGTGCTTGGAGTATAGGTATGTGGCCACCACACTGGGCTTAATCTGGCACAAAGATTTTGTTAGAATCTATGAAGTCTGTGATCAGGCCAACATTATCCATAATCTCCACAGCTTTATGGATTAGGTACTGAATTTGACTCAGTTACCTCTGATAGAACCAGAAAAATTCTATTAACAGAGTAGATTCAATGTGCAGAGAGGCAAGTGCAGGAAATTGACATTTCTTCCTTCATTCAATTTGAGATAAGAGGAGAGATGCAAAGGGGTTGGAACTGCTGATCTCTAGAGTTCTTCCTGGACGTCTAAAGAGTGGCCCCAGATGCTCTTTCACAACCCAGTATGCGGGGGACCGCATTGAGCAACGTGAGCAAAGCCCATTGCCCTTTCAACATTTCCTCTGTATCTCTGCCTTTACGAGACCCTTTCCTTTCTGGCACGTCCACACCATTCATCTAGTAAGTGAACAACAGTGATGGGTCAATGTTGCGTGCCACGGGTTGGCTAATGTTGCAGTTGTGAAGGAAATTTAGCAAATTTTTCAAACTCACGATTTCAGTTGTTTGTAAAGCTGAGGCCTATCGTAAGTTGTTCAAAATAAAGCTGCTTTCATTGAAATCACTAGAATGTCTAAGGACGTCACTGTGAGTTTGCAATTGTTCAAGATTTGAGCTTCGTTTCAGGGTGTAAGAATTAGGCAAGTGTAGAACATTAATGCAAGCAATTTCATGACATTTTTAAAATCAAGCTATCATTTGTCTTTGAAATAAAAGTCCATGCATTTAGTATGTTATTGTTTTCTGCTATAAACACTAATTAAAACTTGATTGTTTTTCCATTTTTAAATTTAAAATAATTACATATTGAATCCTTACATCATGACAGGCAGGATTCTTGGTGTTGGAGACACATTCATTTACAACTGTGTTTTACTGGCAGAGGAGACAAAGATTGTGCCTTTCAAAGGATTTAATGGAACTGACAAACATTTAATAAATGTGAAAAAGGTAAAAAATGACAAAGAATAAAATATAATGAAAAGGAATAATAACCACATATTCTGTATTAAAAATCGTATTTTGTTTGCAATTCATTGTTCCAGTGATTTTTTTAAACATTAGGTACTCTTTCTTAGATAACTTAAAATACAAGTAAAATAATAAAATAATAATGTTTTGTTGATCTAGATGCCATCAAATTAGAAATATTAAATAAAACACATAAATGTATAGAAAAAATATACCAAAATTCAAGATGAGCTGAATGATCTTACAAATATTAAAGGAGTTGAACCATTTATTTGGAGTATTCCTGCAAAGAAGCCGTCAGTCCCAAGAGTTTTAATGGAGAGCTCTGCCACACTTCCAAAGAATAGGTGCTTCCAGACTTTCAGATAATGTAAGAAGAGGGGATGTTCTCAGCCAGTTCTAATGAGATGCCTTAAAACTTGGCAAAGCAGTTGAGGACAGATAAGAAAGGAAAACTACACAGCAGTTTCACTATGAGCAGCAACATAAAATTGCCAAATGAAAATGTAAGCAAGCTTAGAGATTAATATATACTGGACCTATCCTTAGCAGTTATCACTGCCAGTGCTAGATGATCATTTAACTTTATCATTTTGTCCTTATCAATATGGTTACCACTTATCAAACACCAACTTGCCTCCAAGAACTGGTTAAAATTTTACTGTTAATATCACTAGGTTTTATAAATTTTTCAAGGTATTTATTATTCCTATTTTACAGATGACAAAACTGAGATTCAGAGAAGTAAAGAAATTTACCTGAGTTCACACAAGTAGGAAGCGGTGGGACTTGGATTTTACAAAGAATCTTGTGGACTCTGTGTTCATGAAGCTAATGATAAATTTTCCCTGAGGTGCAGAACATACTCTCTCTTGATGTCCTAGCTGCTCAGTAAATATCTATGAAGGTAGGTAAAAAACTTTTCTCACAAAAGGAAAAATTCATTTCTTAACAATTAGAGCCAGAGACTAAGCTATTATCACTTTTCCAGGATTTTCTGGTCCCTTTGCTTTTCTTTTTGGAGCCAGAATGGACTTTCTAGGGGTTTTATGCTTTCTAAAGAACAAGTGGTCCCAGACATTCAGAGGAACAAGAGAAAAATAGAATTATCTACGTTAGTTTGCCGGGCTACCCAGAGGAGTGAATTAAACAGTAGACTTCCATTTTCTCAGTTCTGGATGTTGGCAGTTCGAGGTTGAGGAATAAGCATGTTTGGTTCTTCTGCCCCTTCCTTGGCTGTAGGTGACTGCCTTCTCACTGTGTCATCCCGTCGAGAGACGGTCAGCCTTCTGTTTGTCTGTATGTGAGTTGAATCCTAGTCTCTTCTGCTTATAAAGACAACAGTCATGCTGGTTTGGGACTCACTTTAAGGGCCCCATTTTACTTGATTATCTCTTTAAAGGGCCCACCTCTAAGTACAGTCACCTTCTGAGATAATGGAGTTTAAGGCTTAAAATATAAATTTTGGAGGACAAATTCCAGCTCATAACATTATCTCATGGGAGTAATAGGGCAAACCTGCAGTCTGAAACAGATTGGATTTTCAGAGTATGTGTGGCAGTGAGTCCAGTAAAGCCAGCCCTCTTTGGTCAGCCTTACTGGGCTACACTAGCACTTAACAAGAAATAGTTACAACTGTATTTTCAAGGGTCAGAAAACTGTTCTCATTAGACTCATGAATGAAAATGCAAATCCAAGGTCAGCTCTTCAATACGAACATAAGGGAAACCAACAGGATACTCTCCTCTTTTTTCCCTTCATCTTTCAGGAACCCACTAAGGCCTGCTGAGTGGGAGCTTCACAATGAGCATCCAGCTGGCCAAGCATTCATCAGTTCAACAGTTCTGATGGACAATAGGAACTCAGAGGCAGCCTCAGATTCCCAGATGAATTGGGGAAGTAATAAAACTTTGGCATTTCATAAGAGTAAATTTAAGGCCATGTTTTGGCATTACAGGGTCATACAGAATAGAACATGAGAAAGAAACCTGCATAATCAAGCCAGTCAACAACATCCCTCCTGTCAGCCCTTCCCTATTCTAAGACTCTTTCTGTGTTCTTTTTGGGACTGCAACAGAGCTTTCTATCTAGAAAATAAATCTGGAGGAAGCCTTGAATCAGAGCCAAAGGTGATTTCCCAAAGAGCCTGGCCATAGTTAATCGCTTTTTAATTCTTCAATTTAGTAAAGAGATTCTGAAATCTATGTTCACCTGTTGCACAGACTGCAGGTCTGTAGGTTCTTCTTGTAGATATTGTTTATATTATCATTGACCCTAAATCTGGAAGTGGTGGACTTGTTCTTAAATGTATTTTAACATACACTGGAGAATGATAGCTTATTTAATAAATGGTATTGGAAGAATTGGGTATCCACATGAAGAAGATTGAGTGTAGACTCATAGCTCTTACTATGTACTCAACTAAAATCAAAGAACTAAATATTAAAACAGTAGTTAGCCTGGTGGAAGATAAAATAGGAAAATTTTGAAGTCATGAGTGTGGGCAAGGACTTTCTGAATAGAACCTTGCTTGGTTGCACAGGAAATAGTACCAAAAATTAAAAAAATGAGATCACTTCAAATTAAAAAGCTTCCACATAGCGAAAGAAACAACAATGGAATTAAAAGACAACCTAAAGAATGGGAAAACATTTTTGTCATCTATTCTTAGACAGAAGACTAATGCAGAGTATGTGAAGAGCTAAAAAATGTAGACCCTTCAAAGACCCAGTCAGCAAATGGGCCAGTAAACTGAAGAATTAAAGTGGCCATAGAAGAAGTAAAAGGGACCAAAAGTATATAAGCAAATGCACATCCCTGGCCATTAAAATAAAGAAAAGTAAAAACAACACTGAAATTTCATCTTACTCCAGAAATAACAACCATCACCAAGAAATCAAGTAATACACGCTGGTGAGGCTATGGGGAAAAAAAGAATTCTCCTACATTGTTGCTGGGATATAAACAAGTACAACCAGTATGGAAATTAGCATGAAGATTCCTCAAAAATCCAAAACTAAGAATTCTGTTTGACTCAGCTATTCTACTCTTCGATATCTTGTCAAGAGAGTTAAAGACATCATATTATAATAGATTATGATAATCAATGCATATCCTTGTTTATAGCAGCACAGTTCAGAATAGCTGAATCTTGGCCCTGGCTTGTACATGCATTAACAGTTGGATGGTGTCATGGTTTATGTCGGTGGCCTCATGCATTTGCATTGTGTATTTGTGATTGGTTCATTGTCTAGCACTTGGATTGGGGATGTGAGTGCTGCACTGGCCTAGGGGTGGAGCCAGGATGTGATGTAATTGCAGGAAGAAGATGTGTTTCACTCTCTTTTGCCTGTTTCCTCCTTGCTGTTTGCAGCCGCCATGAACTGCGGCCCACCCATACCACTCTGCCTTAGAGCCAACTGAGTATGGACTGAAACCTCCAAAAACGAAGAAATAAACCTTTCCTTTCCCAACTTTGGGCTTCAGGTACTTGGTCTCAGCAACGAGTAAAAAGTAACTAAGACAGATGGATAAATAAAATGTGATTATTTATACACAATGGAATACTACTCTACCATAAAGAAAGATGAATCTGCATCATTTATAGGAAAATGGGTGTGCTTGTGAAAGTGAAGTAAGTCAGACACATAAATTTAAATACTGCATGGTTTCTCTTATATGAGAAACTAGAATTTCAAGTGAAGAGCAAAATAAGAGATGAATAATAGGAAGTAGGGAGATAGACCTTTCTCAAATGGAAAGGTGATCGGGAGGTAGAAGGGGAGGGAGAGGAGTGAAAGGTGATGAAGAAGGGGACTATGGTGTGTTGTATCCATGCTCCAGACTCCAACGCTCTATGCTGACCACTGTGCTAGAAATTTTAAGTCATTTCTTTTTGTTTTCTTTTAAGTGTTGAAACTATGGCAAGAGCCATCCACCATTAAGCCTCGGAACCAGCAGTAGGACACGCAGAGTCCTTGGTTCACTTACAATCCTGTTTTCCCTCATTCTTCAGTCCCAGCTCCCTCTGCAAAGGAGTGTATGTTTGTGTCCCTCACATTCTTACGTTGAAGTCCTCACCTCCTTTGTCACAGCCTTGACAGACAGGGCCTTCAGGGAGTAGATAGATCGTGAGGATTAGTCCTTTATAAAACATCCCACTGGAGATCATCAAGTGGATTAAACTAAGCACAAAAAGACAAGGACTGCACAATTTCCTGCATATGTGGAATCTAAAATAGTTGATCTTGCAGAAGTTGAGAGTTGAATGGAAGCTACCAAAGGCTGGGGAAGAGTTGGGGAGAAGTCAGCAGTCTAGTTGCCTTCCCTGGAGGTTAATCTCTTCCTGTTTTCTTTCTCTCTTCTCTCTCTCTTTCTCTCTCTCTGTCTCTTTGTGTCTTTAAACATTGTCTTTGCCCCATTTTTCTCATTTTTCTTTCTGAAGCTTTTATATATGTGTGTGTGACTGCATGCTAATTGCCGTATCTCTTTAACTTTCTTTCCTATATCCCTTCTGTTTGTGTCCAGCTACCTTCAGGGCTTTTCTCATGTCTGTCGTTCAGTGTGCTACTACTTTTTTTAACCTGCGGCTATTGAATGAAGTACTCGATTTTGCATGCTTTTCAAGAAAATATTAGGTCTAGCGCTGGGTTATCCTATATTCTTACTTTCATGTCATTCTGCATTATATTTTCCTTTTGTTGCCCAATGAGCCATGATTGTGAGAATTTTTACAATATTTTATTCAGCATTTTTTTTTTACATATTCTATCCTGGGGTAAGTTTTTGTACAAACTTGCTTCATTGTATTTTGTAAAATGAAAATCTGAATGTTTTAATCAGTTATCATTGTTTACCAAGTATTTTGGTTATTTTTAAGCTATGAATCACTACTATTGTTAAGTTACATTTCTTTGTAGGCAAAATTTTTATCTGATTCATCTTGAAATACCCTGATTCACTAGTATACTTAATCAACACTGAATGAATGATTCTAATTGTTAGTGGAGCTTTGTCATCTTACCCAAAACCTGATTGTGGGGAAGTCCCAGAAGAGATAATCATTTAAGTGTCATACAACCAGTGTAATGGGGGAAAAAAGATGTGCCCAGGTCTTAGATTTTCTTTCATCTCCTATTGGACAACTTCCTCGGTAGAAAAAAATTAGAGAAACAAAATATTTTCATTTGATGCTGACAGAATTGTACAAAAATTTGTTATCCATAACTTTGTTTTCATGTTTTAAATTAGTTTTAAAGGACTACTAAAAATTGTTTTAAAGCTCCAGACCACAAAAATGAAAATGCAAATAAATAATACACTCAGAGAAGACGCTGAAAGATAGATGGCAAGCTGTCTTAGGAAATGTTCCTCCCTCCTCCATCTCCTCTCATCCCGTAACAGCCCTTGGTCATATAAATTCCACTTTAATACAGGCGTTCCAACTTTTTCATGTTTAATCAATTAGAAGATGAAACCTCAACATCTACGTAATGTTTGATCCAGCTATGAAAACTTTTTGTAGTCAGGAAAGGACAATTATTAGCCAGTGCCACCCAAAGATGATGAAGCCATTCGAAGATGGGGTGCACCAATCTCTGTTCGTGAGTGGAAGACTTAGGCAAAGCTTATCTCAGAAGAAGTCTCGATCTTCTACCTGTGAAGACTGCTCTTCTTGAAGCTCATTTCACTGAAGAAAGAGTAATAAGATGTTCAAGATTTAAATAAAATGTCCTAGTCTATAGTTACAGAAGAAAGATTTATGTAGTCCCTAAATTTACATAGCTTAAGGATAAGCCTTTGATATAAATGAAACCCAGTGTGAGGTATTTATTAGGCCTGAAAAAAGACATTAAGACATCACTGAGTCTGGTAATAATAATATTCATGTTTATGTTTATTTCCTTC